ACTTTTACAATACTGCTCACGCAAACAAAAACAGGTTACAATCAAATCTGGATTGATGCTGTTGTTTCTGGTTATATTATTCAAAGCTAAACAATATATAAGATTTACATATATTATGAGGGAGGTGATACCCGAACACATATCATACACGTCGCGATGGCATGGAATATACTGGTAAGAGTTTTTTGTTTGCCCTCTCATATCTCAAGTCGTCTTTTGCAGTGGATCCTTTCTATCTTTTCTGCGAGGGAAGAAGCAGACGGTAAGATCTTATGCTCTAAATGTTCATAGCAGCCGTTAATTTGCAGGTTTAGGTAGCATTTCTGTAATCACTGTGACTGCTGGGACTACGACCACAACTACAACGACTACTCCAGGTTATTTAAGCCATTTTGCGTTGAATTGATTAAAGGCTTAATTTTTTAGTTATACCCCATAACGAGCTGTCCAAATTGAGAGAAATTTTCCTCGATACTCACAATGGCTATAGGTATATTCAGATGTATACAGGAAGTTGATTGCAAAGATTTACAGTTGCAGAGCCAGTATTGCTAGGGGTCAGACTGAAAAAAATGGGCACAGTGGAGAAATTGTTCCGCCAGCGTCATTGATGTATGCAATGGTAAAATTAGACACTTTAACATCAGCAGTATTTTATCACGTTGGTTTTGCAGAGATACAATCCAGTTGCTGAAACATATGCACAACGCCATGTAAATAGTTGCAATAGAGTGATATCAAATCCTTTAACAAGACCTGGATTTGAAGAAAATATCAACATTCTCGATAGAACCAATACGGATGAAGAAGGAGCAGCGCAGTGGGTAAAGCTAGTATTAAGTAAATCCTTAAATCATTTTATGCTCTACCATTGCTAGGCAATGTCACAATGGTGGAATGAGCTATCTAGAAATGGAATTCCATCTAACATGATTTACAGTCAAGCAGTGCACAATCGATTGTTTAATCCAGTAAACCAATTCACAAAGGTGCTACGATTACAATCGCTATATGTCCCTACTTCTAAAGGCATCGTCCTCCGCGGGCAACCTGCAAGATCCTCCACGGAGGAAATAGCTCTGCTAAGTAGGATAAAGTAGAATATTTCTTAAAGACATCATTTATTTATGCATTTCGTCTCCATTTTTGTTTTCTACAAGCTAGTGGGTCTTCTCCTGGGTCTGCTTATAGAGAAACTAGCAGAATTGGTCAGATGTAGTGTACCGAGTTAAGGAGGTTTTTGGATCTCTTTTTCCCATAATTGGTCGTATTCCACATTTTTAATCGTAGTCCTTGCAGTTTTAGCATTTCATACTCACCTCCTGATTTGAAGA